ATACTATATACACATATAGTATGCTTAACTTATGCTCATTATGTTTTTAGAAAGATGAGAATGATTATCATTATTTTCATTGTTGCTTTTCCCGTCGTTATTTTCCTCATATACAGTCATTATTAAATTGTTGTTTAATTTTGATATATTTTTTCTTTTTTTACCACAATCTCACATTTCTTACTGCACTGCTGTCACATCAATGTCAATTATATTTGTGGGTTCTACTGGTACTTTGTTGTAGGAGTACATTGTTGAATAAATATTTTTCCCATTGAAAGAATATTTGGTTTTGAGCATAAACCTCATAGTCATGGTCTATTGTTAAGTTTAAGACGGGCCACACTTAACTTTTTTATTTCCTTTTATGTTCGTTTCTTTTTTTGTGTTTGTACTTTCCCTCAAGTTTTATAATTTATCCTTTTTTATATTGTCATGAAATTTAAGACCTAAGGACAATTTATTTAAACGGGGAAATGTTTGTCTTTTTAGAACAAGTTCAAATGCAAAAGTGAAATTAACGAAAAAAAAGTAAAAATTACGATGTTTTCGAAGTATAGGAAAAATAATTAAAAACTTGTGTAATTAAGCAAAAAAATAAGATTTAAAAGACATTATGAAACTTAAAGTATTAAATTTTTTAAATAAAAATAATTATTATTATATCCAACTACGTAATATTCGGCATAATAAAAATATGCACTCGTATAAACCAAAAGAATAATGTGCTGTTTCTAGATACCGATCGAGCAGTTTGAGCACAAATTTTACTTGTATTTTGTTATTGTAACAAAAACAAAATACAAGTAAAATTTTAACTCAAACTACTCACACGTTATTTAGAAACAACACATAAATATGATTGAATATAATTGCTAAAACAATCATTTTAATATGTTTGAAAGAAATTCAACAAAGTTATGGTCAATGTAATCATAGCTTTACTAATTTTATAATATAATTTTATAATTTTAATATATGTAATATGATAACGGCTAATAGAAATTTAACTAAAGAGTGTAATTCTATTAATAATGTTAAAATAATTTTAGTGTTTATATCAAACTCTCTCTTGTAGTGAGTATTTCACTGTCTAAAAAAGACATTCATGCACTTTAATATTTTTTGCATTATTTAATATTCATGACATGTTCATCGAATTTTTATCATGAATATTCAATACGGCTTCTGCTTCATTTTACATACATTTATTTATGCAGAATAAAAGAATACCAAAACTCTTGCTATAAGTATGTTTGTGATGCTACACTGTTGATTGAGCGATTTCTGGTATCTTCGTTAACGCCAGTTTCATCAGTGGCATCCACAACCATCATTGTCAAGTAAGTCACCTCATGTCATGTCTATTGACACTGGGTCAATCATGTCTTTTGATTAAAATAAGAACAAAATAATGGAAAAAACATGAACGAAATGGCTAAAAGTGATATTGCAACTCAGAGACACAACTGAACAAACACATCACACAAATACTAATGGCAACAACATTTGATGTGGAAAAATAAAATAAAAATTAAAATGTCATAATGCAGCAAGAGTTTATTAAAAGTGAGTTGTTGTTGTCTCGCAATTTCTGATACTTTGAACAATAAAAAATATTGATTTAAATGTTAATAAACCATTACGATTATTCTATGCCGGCCTGCTGCTGGCTGTTTAAAAGGACTTAATTTCCAAGTGGATAATATTTATTGATGGCACAAAAATGGTTGTGCTTTTAAGTGTAAAATTTGCCAGTGATTAGATGTAGATAGCCTTTTCTTTTGGTATTATTTAATGAAATGGTACGGTTGCCAAATATTTACTCGAAAGAAAAATGTGATTTTCCAAATATTTTATTTTCTTTCTATGACAAATATTGGAATTTTCGGGTTCCATAAGAAATATTTATTTTCTTTTTACGTCAATCTCTGGCTTTTTTTCAGAAATCCAAAGTTTGCATGGCGTGTATGGTAAAATTCGAAATATTTTTTTCAATTATTATTAAATGAAGTTCAATTACTTTTAACTTTCCCTTAAACATATCGACCTCTGCCAGATTTTTGGATAACTATACTTATGTATGTGTTCTGTAGTAGTAAAATTAAGAAATTTGAATAATAATTTTATGCTTTAGTGTTTTATTTCAAATTTGTTCCAAAGATTTTTGAAGACTTCTTTATTGAGAAGAGCTCAAGTTTTCCAAAAGGAGCATTTTTCAATAAAAAACTTACAAAAATTTTAGATTTTTCCTAAATTTTGCTTTAGTTTATTATTTTAAAAATATTTAAAAATTCTTAATATTATTTAAAATTAGAGGAAAAAATTAACTGCCCAAGTTTAAAATTTCTTTTGCTGCTTTTTTATGTATTCTGTTAATTTTTAAACAACGATTACATTTTTGGGTTCTAGAAAATTATGCACTGTAAAAAAGCTACAATAGTGTTAAAAACTTTAGGATAAAAGCTTTTAAGCTGTTGTATAGTGGATTATATTCAATTACAGTTAATTTCAAAAGTATAAAGGCATAATTATTCTAAAGCCTACAGCCAATGTTATCATTAATTTTGAAATACCCTTAATTATTCAACAAAATGTTGATTTTATATATTTTTACCAAAGTTAAAATAGTGTTTTTAATATTGCTAAAGTTATTTAAAACAACCTAATGAATATTTAATTTATTATCTTAAACAGACGTTTTAAAAACTTGTGCGAGTGAATGTCTCTTGTACATTTATTTTCTCTTCTTCTATATATTAAGAAAAAAAGCATAAAGCTTAAAAAAAAGCTTTACTCACTTTGAACGTTAACAACCCTAAACGTCCATAACATTCATGTCAGAATATTATGTTAAGTACCCAAATATTTAATAACGTTTAAGGAGAGCATCCTGCGAAAGTATTTAATGTTAAAATCGACGTCCAATAATCGTTGTTTATGAGGCGACCTAAATACTACGAAATTTATAGTTTTACGCAATGGTCTTTTTATTTGAATGTATAATCAATTTGTACAAGAAGTTATTGCCAAAAGATGTATTTTAAGCCAACAATAAATTGTATTTTTTGTTTGGCTTTTAACATTCCACAGCTTTGACTTTTCATTCATTAAATAAGCATGACTTTTATGTTTTTTTGTACAAAATTTTTGTCGGGATGTTAAAAATTTGTTATATAATGTTAAAGTATTTTTGGTGATACATTTTTAAATGTAACATACATATATAAATATGTATGAAAAAGTATGTATGTAATACACATACATATGTAAAATTTTTTCTTTTTTAAATTTGAAAATTAACACAGAAATTATATAACGAATTTTTGAGATTTTGATTTAGGAAATAAATACACCTGGTATATTGTAAAATTTTGAATAAATTAGCAAATTTCAATAAAATTATTACATTAATTATTGCGAATAGTTAAAAATTAAAGACAAACTTTTTTCGAAAAAAAAAAAACAAAATATCAACATACAGCAGAAATAATTTTAATCAATTAGGGATTAATTACTTTATTTAATCAATTAAATAAATAATTTAATCAATTATGATATATATTACACCAACTGTTTCAAATTTTTAAGGTTAAAAGTTAAGTATATAATTGACTTTTGAAAAATGTACATTACAATCAGATCGGTTTGCAATGAAATTCGAGGGACCATTGAAATTTTTTCATATAGCGATGTTCATAATAAGGCTGATAAAAGTGACATTTTACGCAATTAAAAGAATATGAATTACAAATTTTTTTCATATTCTTTACAAAATGCAACCATTGATATTATTTTTTCATTTCTTCACAAATTGAAGTTTGTTTCAAACGAAGCTCGATATTTTCTTTTGACTTCAACAAATAATTTTTGAAGTTCATTATACTTGGGAGGGACTGAAAAAGTTGTTCGTTTTATCTGGGGATTCGTTATAAGCGAATTCGTTATAAGAGATGTTTTTTGTATGAAAATAGTTACCAAAATGTCAGGACATGAAAAATAGTTAGGCTATATAAATAAGTTCCGAACAAATATTAAAAATTTGTCAATCAGCATCTACTGAATTAAAGCAATAACCTACATGACTTGGTTAATGTTTCTCTTAAAGATACTGTTTTCTATTGATTACAGAAATATACAGTGTTAATAATGTTAAACTTAGAAATTTATTTCTTTTATTTTTTACATTCTATTGTATGCTTTTTATCCGTTACAACTGCACTGTTAAAAATTTTAACAGTTAGCGGGATGTGCTTTTAATAACATTGGGAGAAAGTTTCATGTAACTGTTATTGAGTGAAGAAGTCCTTATTTATGTTTAAAATATACACTCTCGCACATTTTAACCCACACGTACATAGGACATACACACAAATACGTATATACGTATGTATCTCTTACGAAACATGCACATTATAAATTTTTTTTAGGTTTGTTTGTGTTGTTTTTATTGTAATTCCCTTTTATAGTCGTGCTTCGTTGGTTGTTCTTGTTGCTTCTTCCTTTCTTTCTATTTGTATCCGTTTAACCATACTGTTGTGTGCCATGCGATGGCATGCTGAAACCAATTTTAATACAACAGACTCTCATATAGACAAACACACATACTCTCACACTAATGTAAGGAAAAAGAAGGAATAAAGCGTAAACGAATCGGTATATATGTATGTGTAAGTGAGTTGGTGTGAATGTGTACATAGAATGAAATGTGATTGCAGTTTGGTTAAGCGGTGCGAGCGCAGTATTGTGTAGTTTAGTAGCAAAACACACTTCATACGTTCGGCGGCTGTCAATAAATAATAATAATAAATAATAAAATATTTATAATAATTTATTTAACACATAATTAATTAAACATTCATAACAAACAACTTAAATTATTTAAATTTTAGTTAATCATCTCTTAGAAAAAAAAATTGAAAAATATACATATATTTCAAATAAAAAAAATTAAATATTTTAAGCAAAAGTGCCCGTAAAAGTTAATTAAAAAAGTGTCTTTATGAAGCAAATTGTAAACAAACTTTGCGTAATAAAATTAAATTAAAAAAATTATCTGTGTTGTTAACGCTCCTCATGAAGTGCTGTGTTACTATCAATTTCTGTAGCTTTTTTAAGGTTCCAGTATTTTACATATCAAAAGGAAAACTTCAACCTAAATAATGTTCATCTATGAAATCCTTATATATTTTTTTAACGATTTATGGTTACTTGTTTTCATAATTTATTTTTTTGTTAGTTTTTATTATTACTAACTTCTTGTTTAGTTTTATATTATACATGTATATATACATACATACACACATATGAATGTTAGAATGTATGTATGTGATACTAACTTGTACATATGTATGTACATATAACAAAATATTATTAATTATTTATGAAAAACAGAAACAACAGAGAGAAAATGAAATACAACAAAAAAACAGTACAGAACCTACCTGACACAGTTTATAAAGCAGGTTTTACCTATGACTTGTTTTAAGTTGATTATACATACATATATTATATACTCATTCACTCATTCTAACATGCTACAACTACAACAATAATAATTTAATTCTTATTTTTTTACATTGTTGTTGCTGTTGTGGAAGTTCTTGCTCTTGCATATTAAAATAACAGTGAAATAGAGGCACATTTTGAATTAAGTTTGGCTTAGTTCTTTCACATTTCTATTGTTTTGTATGAATTAAAGTTTGTACTTATGTATATGTACATACATGTATATACATACATGCATATGTATATAAGTGTATGTGCAGTAGTGTATGTGGTGAGAGAGTACATTAACAATAAACGTACATATATAGTTGAAATATGTATATAAATTTTGTTATTATTGCTTTATTAAGCAATTAGATTAGATTTAGAAAAACTTTCTAATTTAATGTTATTAATATGGAATGTACAAAAAACAATGACTACTGAAAACCAAACAGCAGAAAAAGACAATATACATATATCTAAATGCAGTTAAAAGTTTAGATTTTGAAATTAATATTTCGTTAAATTATTTATTAAAAATTAAAAACAAAATTAATTGGAATATGCATTTTTATTGTATTAAAATGAAGGAAATTACATAATCCTATTTATCATTTATTGTACTATGTACCATTTTTTAGAATCTTAACGGTATGTCCGTTTAGAAAAGTTAGGGCAAATTATGGAGATATTGTAGTTAGAAGTTTAGATTGTCTATGAAGCGATCTCTGATATTATTAGGGAAAAAACTCGAAAACTCTGTTGAAATCACTTAATTTGATGTTTATTAGTCGAAATTTAATTCTAGATGTTTTGTATCTGATTTGGGTATATTTTGTTTTCTAAATTTTTTTGGGTTTTCAGGTTTTAGTTTATATTTGGACGGCCATTATGATTGGAGTAAAATTTCAACAGCTAAGCAATAAATTAGAATGTAACATGTATTTCTTATATTTCTGGTGCGATATCGTCACTATACTAACGAATTAAAATATTAAGTGATTTTTATTAATTGAAAATAAATTTTATTTATCTGATTATATCTATTTTCTATGTTATCTTTATCTCTACTTTTAATTGAATTTTCTATTTAAAACCGGAAATTTAATTATAAATATTTTTTGCTAAGTAAAAGCGTTTACAAGAAACTTATTTTTACCATTTAAGTAACCGACCACTTTTTAGCTTTTAATCAATACTAATTGCTATATTAATACAAATAATAAATGTTTAATAATGGTTTAACTTCCTGCTAAAATTCCCAAAAATAGATTTAAAGAAAATCTATTCAATTGTGCAGATGTTTTCTTAATCCCTTAACTGATTGATATGCATGTGTATTTTTCCGTTTTGAATAATTTAAAAATTAATGTAAAATATATGCCTTTTGCTTGAGTTGTTTTAATATTTGATAATACCATACAACGATTTCCATTTGTGTGGTTTAACATTATTGTCAAGCGATTATTTTTATCAATGTTGTGGTATACTGTGATAATTTTTTTTCGCATTACATCAATCAAATTTATGAGAACGGAAAGATAATATTTTCAATTTCTTGTAATCAAACATAATATTCATTAGGCCAGCCCTTTGAAATGAGATTTTTTTGATGAGTTTTAATTTCTTAGTCAGTACATAATATTGTTATATAATATAAATTATTTACTAAATATTTACTTAGTAAAAGTCTCATCGTATAAGTTAAAGTTATAAGTAAAAGTGTACGTTTTAAACCTGTAAACATTTTTCATTTTCAAACATAACATTTTTTTAGAATTTTTCAAAATTTTTTTTTTGTCTTTAAATTTTTACATTTTTTAGCTAACTGATAACAAAACAAAAATCGAAAAAATTGAAAACGTAAATTTTTTTCTTTCCGTGTTTCTAATTTATTAAATATTTTAAAATGTCTGGTTGCAACCAGACCCACCCAATCCATAATCCTGTGTGTATAGATGTGCTCGTAATCCTGTGTGTCCACTCAGAATACGCACCACCATACTAACCTAAGGCTTGCTCATTTTGAGTATAAATCTAGTCTTGCTCTCATCAGGGTCACCCGATAGGATCTTTGTGGTACTACCCAACGTTTCATTATTCCAAGAGGCCTTATGGGATTCTCTCACCCATATTTTTAATTAAGCTTTTGTTGCGTCGAATGGTTTTGTGTTTGTCAGGTTGACTACCATCTCTTTAAAGCTATTACATTCGCCCTTTCGTTGCCGACTACTCCCGAGTGGCGTGGTAGCCATATGCTTTACAAGTGGCCCCCGAAAAACAGCTGTAACAATCATCACTCTTTCAAAAATAGGAGTATAACAATAAAATTAGGCACAAACAAGTTTCATATAAGGCTCTCTACAAAATTCTTTTAATATCGGTCCATAATTGAACCTACCCCTCATATAAAGTCCTTTTCAGAAAATGACGTGCCCATTACTGGCTGAAAACTACGAGTTTTGCGATGAAATTTGACATGAAGTAAGTTTCCTACGAGCCAAAATCTCTGTACCAAATTTTATGAGGATCGGTTCAACTTTCTAAATCTAGAAAGTCATACTGTACTCAGTTTATGTTAATGCTGTACAAACACACAACTACAATTTGCTCTTTCAAAGTGGGTCATAAATTGTAATAGTTCAAAGAGGTTCTTCTCGATATCGAAATTTACTATTTAGCAGTAATTGTTACATAATTAAGTATTGATTATTATTATTATTCCAAAGTTATTGTCATCATTTGATCTTGGTAATTACAATTACAGCGTAGCGTTTTTCGTGTTTATTATTGTAATCCCAAAAATAGCAACAAAATTTATTAATGTGTTTATTTGATTACGTCAAAGAATTACTTACTATTGAAACAAGAAGCCTATTTTGATAATAAAACAAAAACACAAAAACTTTAATAAAATTACAAATTTGACTTCAGGCAAGGGAGTTGTTATTGTGTAACATCAGCAATATAACAAAAACAAAAATGTGAATAGATAAATGAAACATGTTTTTAGAAATACCTAAGAAACTATAAGCCCCCTTGGGTAAATTCATAAAAGAATTGTATTTTACTAATATTAAACAATCACATATAAACTATGTATGTATAGGAGGAATAAATTGTTATTTAAGTCCTATTTAATATAGTTTGTGTTTATTAAAGAAAAACCCCAAACTATCTTAAAATAATAAGGAATTTAAATTTCAACTATTCTAAATCCAAAAAAGTTGGTATTGTTTTGTTATTTTTTGAATTTTTTTAACAACAAAAATCTAAATAAATTGTAACTAAAACACACATACTCTTAAACGTATACATGCATTTTACCGGCAACAACAAATTTCGAAAAACATTCATTCACATTACGCTTACATCGTATACATATAGATACATACATACTTAGGTATAATTTTATGTGTTTGGAAAATTTATTCGTCAGACAGTATGTCTTTGATATTGTTGGCATAAAATTATAAAGAATAACAACTACTACAGTGAAAGCAGTAGCAATATCTGTCTCAACCACAGCAACGAAAGACAATAGCAAAACGTGAAATAATGTCGAGCAAAATATTTGTTTATCTTGTTGTAACTAATGTACAAACAAATTATTCACATAACAAAAACAAAACCAAAAAACACGTTACAAAACAAGAACAGATTTTTTGTGTGTGTGTTTACATAATAAGCTCTTCTTCATCTTCATCATCATCGTCGACAACAACTAATACTTATAAATTTTGTTTCTAAACCCCTTCTTTTGTCTCCCTTCATCTTTATCTTCCGGTTTTGTGGTTGTTGTCTTTCAGTACAAATATAAGTGCGTTTAATGTACAACCGTAAATACAAAAGCAACAACAAATAAAGAGCCAAAACACGTTTCTTTTAAATATGTATGGGAATATCTACACACCTACATATGTACACATACTCCCTCACTCATTCTTTCACACAAACATTTGTGCATTTAATATACTTCTATCCGTTTACTATGTGAACATTTGTAGATGTGTTCACATGTACGTATACGTAATATTTGAATTTTTTATTTAAAATATAAATTTTTGTAGCCCTTACTAAATGTTATGATTTTTTTATTTTTGGTAGAATTTATATGAATTTGTTTGTCGTCATGAAATGTAGAAAAGTATCTACTCGTTTTTTACCGAAGAGGTGCTTGCATAGTAAAAGGCGATAATTTTTGATTTATTTACATGTGTAAATATTATATGTATATGTTTTTTTTTTTTTTTGTTGTTTTTACTGGTTTTACTGCTGCTTGTGGTTATTTTTTGGTACTTAAGTACATGCATATATTTTCATGAGCACATACTTGAGAAATTTATATAACTTTTGGTTTTTATTCTTATGTGTTATGCCCTAAATCAGCATAGTTTGTTAGTTTTGTTTTAACTTTTGCAATGATCAGAAAGATCGTAATTTAAGAAATAATTCTCCTTTTTTTCTCAGACTCATGTGAAAATTAGCCACCATTAATGTAAATAAAATTCAAAAGAATAAATACCTAAGAGCATCATT